AAATATTTTATTTTAGCACCGGTACAAATTTCTTCCGGTACAAATTTCTTTCCGTGTGGTACTTTTTGAAGCACTCTTTAACACACAGATGAGGCCTTCCTGTGCATCCGATGCATACATAGCGGCTGCGTTTGGTTGTTTTGTGCACTGAACAGTATGCACACTGTCGATCATGCCCGTCATAGTCAACCAAGTGTTTATTTCCACTGAGACGCTCCTCTGCACTGTTGATGGCCTTTTTCCCTGGCTTTGATTTTGATTGGGCAAAGGGAATGAGTGTTTCAGTTTCAGGGTACTGGGCTTTAGAAACTATTCTTCCTGCATCTTTTCTGCCTAATTTTCGACTTCTCTTTGCAGGAACAGGAGTAGCATTATCTGAATCACTATTACTATTACTATCACCTCCTATATTTCCATTTACCGACACATCAGATTCAAATGGTTCATGTTTAATATTCTCCAATGTTTCAGTTTTGATGGTTTGCATCAAAAGCTCTTGTGCTTGCAAACTTGAAACCCTACGTGGTCTAGCAACACCTGGTGTACTTGGAGTAGGCGTGGCCATTGCTTTGTTTAGAACAGTTTGAACACAAATCGAAAAAAAGCCGCAATTATTGAATGGAAAAACAAATGTAAACAAATCCTACTTCTAAATTCTAACAGGAAAGAAAAACTTCCTGCTTCCTGAGGAAGAGTTATCGTTCATATGAGAACATAAAAAGTAGGATTGGTAGCCGCAGGCAGCGAAATAAGTTACACAATTTTTAGCGGCTTTACCCCCTCCCCCATGAAAATCAGTGGGATAGGATGAGGGCGAAACTGATTTGGGGGCAAAACAATACCCTGTGATGGCCCCAACCGGAGTGAATTCAAGTCATTTATTGCCACTGATGTAATAATACCTAAATTATTTTGTAAATTAATATGCTGAGAGATGCCCTGTCCCTCTGAAATGTCCCCTCCCTGAGCCCTGAGTAAATTTTTCTGAAAGAAACACAGAATTCAGGTATACGGCCAAATCGGACCTCTTGATTATCAAAATTTTCTGGGGAGGGTAGAATCTCTCCCAAGACCCCTCCCCATTTTCTTTGGGTACCCGTCCTCGCCCTCGCTATCTGCCCGCCTACCCGAATCAAACTGTTATTATTGGAACCCTTAGAATTAGAGAAACGCATTGGATATTTGTAATTAAGATGATTTGCTTGAACTGGCAACAAAGATATTACTGTCTTTTAATTTTGTTGGTATTTTTGGGCTAAATAGATTCCAAGGATAAAAATTAGCTGGAGCCAAAATCATTCCCTCAAGTAAAGTGAATTTATTTTATGATGGGTGAAAGGATGGAGTTATAGATGATCCTGGTCGTCATTACGCCTAATTTTTTGCACTGCCCAGTGGCGTTACTAGCGGCAATATCACCCTTGCCAGGCTAAGACTTTTGCCATCCCTTTCAACGACAAAACTCTGCAGGAGGCCTAAAATGCAGCCCCTCCATAAATAAAAAACATCCCCGTGGGCGGGCCGCCCCCAGTATTTCTTTTAGACAATTTCCCCCGGGGGGCACTTCAGATTTTCGGGGGGGGGCGCGCCAGTAGAAAGAGGCGTAGCTAAGTTAGGCATGGGGACATATGTCCCCGGGCGCCAGACTATGGGCTATAGTGTTAATGGATAAAAATAATGGGTGTCAGAGTTGAGCGGGGTGGAGGGAGTAAAAATGAATTGTGTCCCCTGGCACCAAAGATTTACGCCAGTGATGGAGAAAATGGGGAGGGGCGAATATTTGGTCTTCCCATGTATCATGTTTTCTTTAGATTGAGCGGCGGGATTTTCGGACAACTGCAGAGTTTCTATCGAGAAAGTTAGCGCGGCAAAAATTATTAACCCACCTAGGGTGGCGGCAAAAATTAGCACACCAAAGGGCAATGTAGATATCAGCACCGAAATTGTTTGTCAGGGCAAGCAATACTTCAATTTTTATCGGGAAGTAGGGCAGAAATCGAGCATTCCGATGGCTTTTCCTAACCAAAATAACTCCAAAATGAGAATCAAAGTACAGAGAGAGTATACGAGGGAGTTCCCAATTAATCAGGACCTCAGACAAGGAAATCCATGCATCGTTTTCAATATAACGTTAGAAAAATGCATTAGAAACATACGTGTGAGCAGCAGAGAGGTAGTAGAGAACAACCATAAGGAACTTTATAAAGCCAGCCAATGCAATATCTGGGATACATAGACGATATAGCGCTACTTTGTAGAAACAACAATGATATAATTAAAGCTTTCAGGGAACTTTAAGATGTCACGGTCAAAACTGGTCTTTATGTAAATAAAGCGAAGGCAATATAATATATGATAATGTCGGGAAATACGCACACTGATGACAACATCAATATGAACAACCAAATATGAGAGAGTAGCTACTTTCAATTATCTAGGGGTGACTACAAATATGCAAAAGGAAATAAAATTGGAGGGGAAAGAAAGGATGAAAGCATGCAACCGTTATTATTTCAACTTACAAAAGCTACTACAAAGCAAAAACCTCTCTATAGGGGAACAAAGAAGGAAATATACACCACTATCATAAGACCAGTAGTAACTTAAGCAAGTGAGACTTGGTTCCTACCAGAAAAGCAGAGAACCTGCTCAATATATGAACCGATGACATACAGTTTTGTTTTGGGAATCCATACAACCCAAAAGCTATATCATTTGTACACAAATACCCATCCATAGAGGCATCAATAAAAAAAAAAAGCAGACTGCCCTGGACAGGAAACATTGAAAGTTTGCCGGATTATGAAGCAGCAAAAACGATCTGCACGCAGAAACCTAGGGGCAGACGGCTCACCGGTCGACCAAGACTGAGATGGATTGACGATGTAGAGAAGGAATTCAAAGATTGGGGGTTCGCGCATGGAGGCGAAAGCAATGGATAGATCCGAATGGAAGGATGTGGTGGAGCAGGCCAGTGCCCTACATGGGATGAAGCGCCACTGATGAAGACATTTCAGAATTTTGGGTGGGAAGCACTAGAAGTATCCAAAATAACAGGGCATCGCTAACTCTTCCACCAGCCCAATATTAACTAATTTCATTCCAGTTGGGAGCCCTTATGATATGCTTTTTTTGTCGAGAGATACTCCCTAGCTTAGATTCGCCCCTTAAAACTTATAGACCCCGGAAATTTTTTGATAAATTCAAAATGCAAGAATGCATTTTTGTACATATTTTAATTTAGTTTTGCATCATTGTACACTTAATTGGAGAGTAACGGGAGAGATGCTAGTTAAGATTTTGTATGTCACTTGACCTCAGAGCCATCGTGTGAGGTCGGCAACCCGAATAGCTGCATGGTGCCTCGTACATTTTAGGGGCTTAAAGTTGTGCTGTAATTACTTTATATTAAAATTTAAAAGAGAATTCCTTCTAAAATAGGTATCCATCACAAATAAAAGAAATGCTAAAATAGTTCTACATTTTAAACGAAAAAGAAACCAAAAACATACGTTTTTTTCTCTAAATATTTCCACGTTTTACCAAGACAAAAAGAAAACAAAGCTTTTCTTTAGAAAGGGCTATACATTTTTATGGGTTTTTATTTATAAATCGTATGTAACCGACATAATTGTTAAGAAGACATGAGTTGTATACAAAAGATGTATATTTATTAATGTTTGATTTTTTGATTAAGCAGAGAAAAGTCGTTGGGGATTGGATTTATAAATAAAGGCTAAATATTTTTTTTAAATAAATCATTCTACTCTGATGTTCCCGAAAATGTGTTACAAAATTAGAAACCACCCGATTTAATAATAATTTATGAAATGTCCACTATTGGTATGGAACCGGTGAATTCCTAATTTTTTGTTTTAAAATATCGTGGGTTTTTTTTTTTGGTGGTGTTTTTAAGTTTTCATTTTATCTAACTCAATGTACATGGATGGATGCTAAAAACGCATTTTTTTTAAAAGCATGATGATATACATTTTAGAATTATCACTTATCTCTACTTTAACAGTCATGTTTTTATGATTAAATATAATTTGAAAGTAGATTGCAAATGTTTATTAATTAGCAAGAACTATATTCAATTTATAGACCTTCATATCGATGTAAACTTAGTTTAATACAGCGTTATTAAAGTCTTTCAACTTGTGCAGCTGCAAAATAAAAATAAATAAAAATACCGATATATGCGAACAAGCAGTGGCGTAGCGAGGGTGTTTGGCGCCCGGGGACAAGATCCAATTTTAGCGCCCCTTTTTCTTTTTTTCAACTCTCAAACCCATTATTTTATCAATAAAATAATCTCAAAGCACATTTTGGCGCCCCTAACTAGCTGGCGCCCGGGGACATCTGTCCCCTTCCCTGCCCCCACCACGCTACACCTCTGCGAACAAGATAAAGTAAGATTTGGCTTATAATCAGGAGTGGCCAATTATCAAAACAATACGATATTTATAATCGAATTCTGTGAGCCTGTAACAAGATTAACCTGAACGATATGGATCATCAATATATATCGAACAAAGCGATATTTTATTTTTATTGGTTCCATTAATTGTAATTGATGAAAGGCCCACATTTCTATTACTTTTGAAATTCTATAAACATTAAAGTTAGAGTAGTTTTTTTTTATTAAAAAAATATTTTTGTTACACATTTTCTCCCTGGGGGCATTTTACTTGCTGGGGGGGGGGGGGGTTTCCTTCCCCCCCCCCCCGAGGTATGCCTGAAAGAAACCGTGGCCGCCCCTCTGCCCACCTTACCTACGCCACTGACACTGCCCACGTGATACGAATATCTGAAATGCACCCCTTCCCCTAAGAAAAAAAAAACAAAAAAAACACTAGTTTACATTGGTACCAGGGATAATCTAGCCCTGCTTTTAAATCGTGTTAATTTTATTTGCACATGATCCTGGATTTACGTTTCAATAGGATATCTGATTTAAAAAAGGAGCAGCAAGCCGTAGAATTAGGCCTGGGTCAAAGGGCAACTGAGAGTTCAAAGGCCAGACGTACACTTAAATACTACTATTGAATTGAATTGCAACCAAACAAACAAAAAAATTATATTTCAAGGTATGTTAAAATATGATTTTACCCACATTATTAAGATAATTCAAGATAACTGATTACGGTAGTATTACACTAAGTCAGCCTACCTAAGACAGTACAATCACAGACGCGGTCAGTTTATATGAAATTGTTTTAAATAAGTTTAAGAAAAATTGAAGTGTAAAAGTTAGTCAGTGTCAGGCTACTTACTTACTACTGATGTATTATTATTCAAAATTATTGTATTCACAGTAGAATATAAGTTGCTAATTGTTATTGATATAAATAAAATATGTAACAACATATTAATAATTGTGTGTTCAAGTGCAAACTTAACAAGTCCAATTTTACTTTACGGAACATTACCATTGTTCATTGTAATTTTGTTGAAAAAGGGGGAAGAGGGGGGGGGGGGGGGGGGGGGGGGGGGGAGTGTTATTCAAGGGACCTCAAAATTTAGTTAGCCCCTAGTGTCAAATCCTTGTTTCTACTAGATTGGTTAATTCATCAGGTTCTCTCACTTGTTGTAATATGTTGTACAAGTGTTGAATAAACTCAAGACCTTTATAAAAATAAATACAACTTTTATATCTAATTCTAAACGCATACTGTAAACTCCATACACACATGAATAGCGCAGCTCGCTATCAGACAGAAAGAAAATACAACCACCTTTCACAAAGTTCCATTCACGACTGCCAGAGGAAGAAAACATACGTCACAAAACAGACTAGACAATACTCATAATGAGCATTATTAATGAATTATTAATGAACTCCCATACTCAACATATCCCCTCTCTTCCATTTTAGATTTAACTCAAACTCAAGAAGTAAAATCAACACCCACACAAAAAATTCACATAAACATCATCAATTGGAAACCATCAGATAAATGAAATGGTCTGTACCAAACAAAATTATTTAGTAGCACTGAAAATCTAACTAAAGTATTGATGCATTACAATCAATAACTTCAATTATTTGTACATTGTACATAATTTAATTACAATTCAAGAGTTAAAAATGCATGTACAACACTATAAAAAGGAAATCAGAGCAATTAATTTCAACATTAAAAATTCCTTTTTATAGCAATGAAATTATACAATAAAATAATTCCCTTTATATCTTCCCATCTCAGGGCAATTACATCAATATCCATTTTGAATTTGTAATAATAACTGACATTATCATATCATTAGTGTGTATTAAAAAATCATTGACAGTCACTGCGAAAAATACATAAGTACCTTACATTATTACAGGTGAGAGATTACTCACCACAATATAAGCAGCCTTTATTTGGTCTTATATGACACATGTACAGATGGCAGGACATTTCTTCTATCCGTGGATTTCACAACTTTATGCTTCACCATGTTAATTATCATTTGAAATCCTTCTTGCTGGTCTTTTGACACTTAGTCACAACTCATATGGAACTTCAGTTTTATAATACATATGTTTAAATTTTTACAAAATGAAAAATGAGTCTCATCAAAAAATTCATACAAATCAAAAACTTCAGAGCAATCAGGGTCATAGCTCATTTTAACAGATTCATTTTTAACAATAAAAAAAAAAATTCACCTCCCTACTCATATACTTGAAAATTCACCTCCTCTACAAAATCATAAACCAATGCACCTTAGAGCTGGCAGCACTCTCTTTTTAACCAATTGAAAATTTGTTTCCATCCTAATGTCAGAGCACTCCTGGCTCTCAAAATCTGGACAACCTTCACTCACATTACTTGGTGATTTATTTCATTACAGCTCTCTGTAACAAAATGAACATATGAGCAGCCCTGGCTCACATTATCTAGTGGTTTCTTTTCATTATAGCTCTTTGTAAAAAAAAATCAATATTGAAGCAAACCTTGCTCATATTAACTGACGATTCATTTGCATTACAGTTCTCTGCATTAATATCAACATTTAATCAAACCTTGCTAACATTATCTAAGGATTTATTTTCATTACAGCTCTCTGCAATAAAAACAACATTTGAGCAAAGCTTGCTCACATTACCCACCAATTCATATTTATTACATATCTCTGTAATAATAACATTTGAGCAACTTTTGCTCACATTATCTAGTGACTCATTTACATCACATAATGTATCAACTACATTTTTCTCTCCTTCCCCCACCTCAGTGATTGCACTCACCTCTTCAACTTCACAAAAAAAATCAGAAAATTCAACTCCAGGACTTACATTATCTGATGGCTCATGAGATACAGCAAAAATCATGTCCTTATACTTTACATCAGGGTTCTCTTTGCTTTCAAAGCAAGCCATTTCAATAACTATCAATTCATTACAAACTGTGGCGCTTGGACGATCCCCTTCATACGTCCACCTAAGGTCATGTCCAATGACCTCTACCTTATTAAATGTGTGACCCATTTCTTCTTTTGACGGGACTCCCTGGGATAAACTTTCAACTTCAACCTCGTGCTTGCAGTAACCTGACCACTTCTCAAATAAATCTAAATCTATGTTATTCGTCATGGGCGTTATGTCAGCACTGTCCACGCTGTCCAGTTTAACATTAACTGACAGAATTTTGTGGTCAAGGTGCTCTAACTGATTTATTATGTGGCAAAAGTTAATCTAAATTAGACATTTGAAAGTACAGGACTGAAACTCGTGCATCTTAAACATAATATATATAATTATAATTATATGCCTTTGTCAATGGTGCATAGCTGCAGCCTCCACATATTCCTAGTATAATTTTTTCTCAGTCAAGAGACTCATTTCCCATAACAAATTAATTATTTTAGAAGTGTACGCTGACTTTCTCTGTTTAAAATCAATTTCAGATCTTATTCTGCAATTCTGTGGCAGTTGGTTTTATAAACATTTCAGCCATGGTTGATTACAGAGTAGAGGACCAGTTTGCAATTCTTGAAATAAATAATCCCCCTGTCAATGCATTAAGGTATGCAAGAAATTTTTTTTTTCAATCTTGTTTTTAATTTTAAATCTAGTTACTTTTTGAATTGAATGTTTCTTCCAGTTTAAGCTATTAAATTTATTTAATTTCTTGTTTTGATAATAATAAATTGAATAGCTTAAACTTTAAGCAACATTTAGTTCAACAGTTGAAGCAACTACCTTTAATTTAAATGAAAATACACTTTTGAATGAGAACCTCATACTTAAGAGTTAAGATTAGAGAGGAATTTGTTTAAATTAAAATTTTAGTTATAACCCGCAAACATTGCATAGTTATATAGTTTTACCAGAACTGACATGCAAGGTTTAAATTTTGGACTAAATTAATTTTACAAAAGTTTTGCATCAATCTTACTTATGGTGCTTACATTGATGTATTCCAAGATTAAAATCTTCAATAATGTATATAAGCACTGTAAACCACATTATGTAGATTGATTGCATGACATTTTATTACATTATTACATTAAATTGAAGCCCAAATTTTATCACTTTAGGTCATCACGATATTGTAATTTAATGAAGAATTCTAGGATAAGCTTAACTTAAACTGATAATAATTAATGTGCAATATTTTATCACTTTATTTTATTTTTCTATTATTCTAGTCTGCATGTAAGGGAAGGTTTGTTAAATGGTGTACTGAGAGCATCAGCAGACAACAATGTGAAGGCCATCATACTAATTGGAAAAGGGAAAACATTTCCATCTGGAGCAGATATCAAAGAGTTCTCTAGACCAGGAAAAGGTTATTTTTATATTAAATTTAAGACTTGAATATTCAAGCTTCTCTTTTTTAAAATTTTTGTTAAATACACCTTTAGTAGTTCTCTGGCCTATTTTTATATGTTTTGTGTGTTTTACCAATAGTGGGAAGGTAGTTCAGAGTTATTTTTATTGCTAAAATGAAATGTTCCAATTTTTTTGTTTGTTAAGGGACCCAGCCCGAATTCAGAAAACTAGGATAATTCTAAAATCAGTGGTGTACACACTATTTGATAGAAACTATATTTATATATTTATAAATTCATATTTATCTATGTATATTTCTTTTCACTAGCCCCTTGGCTACCAGAGGTTGGTCACACTATAGAGTCAAGCAATAAACCAGTTTTCAGTGCTCTGCATGGAACAGCATTAGGAGGCGGCCTTGAGATTGCATTATTTTCTCATTATAGGATTGCTGAAAAGACTGCCAAGTAATTCAAGAAACAGATGATGTCCTAATTGTTTTTTTTTTAATACACCTTTTTAAAATACTGACTCTTGTTTCTTGCTTTCATCAGATTTTTACTGCATTCAAGAGATCTGTTTGGTTATATAGAGAGATGTAATAAATATTAATGAGTGCTGTTATGGTATTCTTTATGATAAAAACAATGTTCTACGTACTACATATGAGAAATCACTCATGCATTAAAATTATTCTGCGTCCAGGGTTGGTTTTCCTGAAGTTCATCTGGGTTTACTACCTGGGGCTGAAGGAACTATCCGTCTTCCACGATTGACTGGATTGGTTATCGCAATGGAAATGATAACTTCAGGTCGACAAGTCAGTGCAAAAGAGGCATTAAAGTTTGGAATTGTAGATAAGGTATCGGTTTTCATTTTTTCATTTTTTAAATAAGAAAAAACTAAAAATGTTCTTTTAAAACCACCTTTTCATTTATTTTCGACAACATACACCCTTACCTCATCCCCACTTAACCTTAATAGTATAGATTTATAACTAAAATTGTTTTTTCATGAAATTATGGTAAAATCGTACAAACTTTATATAATTATTTTCGTTTTTTAAAGTTTGTAATTAATTAAAAATAAATGCAGTAAAATAAGTCAAAGGGATGTTCAAGCATAATTGTGATAATTTTGGTGTAGGAGCTGTGGGTGGGGGAAGGAACCAAGTGAAAAATGGTTCCTAACACCATAATGCACAACTTTAAATAAACTGTTATTTTAGTTTATTAAAATTATTATAAATGATAATAACAAGTTTTTGTTGAATAAGGTTGTTGAAGGAAATCTCCTGAAAGAAACAAAAGCTTTTGCTAAATCTGTGTTAGGTCAACCACTGGAACCCAGGAAACTCAGCTTGTGTGGTGTCAAAGATGCAGACCAAGTGGACAAATATTATGAAGGTATACAAATTGTGAAACTTTCTGGAAAGTGGTCTGTTTGTGGAATGTGGAAATTTATAAATAAAACTTTAAACTGCAATATTTCTTGATAAAAACAGAAGAGTGCAGTTGCATTTATTATTGGCCTGCCAGTGCAGAGTAAGAGTTCAGTTGCATTTATTATTGGCCTGCCAGTGCAGAACATTAAAAATGATCCCTAATCTGTCAAAATGTTAAAATAATTTATTTAAAAATTTTTTTTAAATTAATTTTTCTAAGGAAAAATATATATTTTTGTCAATCCATGAACAACAGTTATATAAATAAAAGAATTAAATTCATTAGAGATATGTGTTAAAGACATAACTATTCAATTGATATCTGTTTTAGCTGCATTAAAAGAACTGCTTAAAAAGTACAGAGGAGTCATTGCACCAGTGGTAACTGATATATTTATCTCTTCTAGAATGATTAATCCTACTAATTTTAGTTGTAATTTATGAATATTGGCGTAAAGTGATAATATTTTATTTCCATAGCTTTTGGATAACATATGAGTCTTATATTTTTACCTGACTATATACAAATTATTACCATGTCAGTAATTTTGTATGATTTTAAAATGTCTGCACAACAGCAAAATCTTTGTTAAGAATGTAATTTGCTGCATTTGTTCACTCTAGAGTTGTTTAAAGTCTATCCGAGGCTCTGCACAGTTACCGTATAAGGAAGCTGCTGAACTTGAAAGAACTTTGTTTTCAGAATTGATGTCAGGGGCTCAGTCAGCGGCACTGAGATATTCCTTCTTTGCTGAAAGGGCAGCTTCAAGAGTACGTACTATCCTCATCCTCTGTACTTAACTTTATTTATATTACTATAAGATGTATTTATATATTACTATAAAATGGTTTCAGTAAATGTCTAATGCTAGAAGTCTTGTTTACATGTAACCATTGGCTACTGGCTGCCAGGGTGATGTCATAAACATAACAGTATAATGTTCAGTTTGGCCAATTCTATCACTTCAATGAAAAACATTGTGTAGTTGGCTGATCCCTTGAATGAATGAAATAGTAAGGAGAACAACACAAGACAATCACAAGAATGTTTTGGCTGAAAGCCTTCATCAGCAAACAAAAAAATGAAAACAAAGAGAATAAAATCAGACTCGGTTTGACAGAAAGTTATTCAAATCTAACATGTTATTGTTACTAAGGAAACATTTTAAGAATTTTGGGGATGAGGTTAACAGGAAATAAAATAATGAAATTAAATGGAACACAACAGAATGTGCAGTTATGCTGATTCTATACAAAAAATAATATGATGTTGAAGCACCCAATAGACCAAAACCAAAACTGCTACTTTATGTCTTTGGCGTGATTTTGATATTTAAATGCTAATTACAGAAAATCTTAATAGGACAGCCTTTGACTAACAACAAAAACACTAAGGTTTTTACAGAAATCAATAAGTGCCCATACAATAAAAAATAATATCTATTTATTTGGATCAATTAAAAAAACCTCATCTTATCTTATCGTGAGCCCTGTTAACTTTAAGCTAATGCCCCAAAATTATTACTGTTAGAAGTGCAACATTTGGTACAAAGCAAATACTGTTATATGTTTTTAAAAAAACAAATGACGAATTTTAAAAAAGTTGATATTTTTTGGTTTCTTCAGTGGAATCTGCCGAATGGTGCAAGTTCAGCTAATTCCAAGCCATTAACTATTAAGTCTGCTGCAGTTATTGGTGCTGGTACCATGGGTTCAGGAATAGCCATTTGTCTCATTAGATCTGGAATTCCTGTCATTCTTGTTGAGCAGAATGAAAAGGTATAAATGTTATTTTTTTGGTCTTTGCCACCTATTGTATTTGGGAAAAAAATCTTAAAATAGAAATAATTCTTCTTTAAAAACTATATCAAAACATTATAAAGTGCTCTTTTTTTAGATATATGAGACTTCATTTAATAATTATAAAACTAGAATTTAGATATCTATTTTTTAAAATGTCTTCCTATCTATGGCTATAATTTATTCTAAAATTAAATAAATGTTGCATGACATTCTAAAATTAAAGTAAAATCAGAATAAATTCAGAATCTGTACATGATTACATTATTTTCAGATGTTAGAAAATGCTTTGAGAAATATTGGTTACATTCTCCAAGGCAGTGTGAAACTTGGTCGAATGACAGTTGATCAAAGAAGTGACTGTCTACGCATCTTACAAGGAGCTGCGAGCATAGAAAAACTAAAGGATGTTGACATTGTAATCTACTATCGCCTATTTAACAATAAAATGATGTTAGATTTGTATAAATGCAACATCATTACTGCACATTGCTCTTAACCTTTTATATCTTTTAAGATCATGTCAAATTATGTCACCAAAATATAAAATAATATAAAAATATATCAGTTTTTGTAATGAACTTTTTAAGTATTCTATTAGTTCTGTTGTTTGTCTAAACATTAAGTTTAAGTAGGATATTATTGCTTAAAACACTTAAGTTTAATTCTCAACTACAGAACTTATTATCTTATGTTCCTAGCAAGAGCAATTGGCTGCAAAAGGCTTTATATATATTATCTCTCAATGTAGTGATTTGTTTTTGTTTGTTAATAAAAATTAAATTACGTAATGTAGTTCTCATATTTCTTTTGATAACTAGGTCATAGAGGCAGTTTATGAAAATTTGAAACTGAAGCAAGAAATATTTGAAAAGTTGGATAAAATATGCAAGCCCACAGCACTTCTTTGTTCCAACACTTCAACACTTGATATTGACTTGGTAAGTCAATCATTCAAAGAGCAGGCTTTTTTTTTTATAGTTTGAAAAAGAACTTTCTATTCTATCTCTAGTCAATACTTATGTAATGCCTGGTTGAATAAGTTAAAAATATATATTCTCCATAATCAAGTCTGTTGTGCAAACAAAAAAACAAGGTCCCCATGGTAAAAATCAGAGTTTAAAAAAATCCTTCTTTGGTTTACTTATTAAAAATAGACACTGCTAATCTGTTGACTCTGAAATTAAGATAAGATAAGATTCTTTTATGGATACATACAAATGGAAATGTTTTTTAATTACATCGTACATATTCATTTTCAGCACATAAATAAATGCATATTTTAACCAAGATAAAAATTTAGAGCAATTTGAACAAAAGACATCTAAAGTATTTCTTTAGCATAATTATAATTAAATAAGTAAATAGTCTAAACTTACAGTTTTTTATAAAGAAATAAATTTAGTTAAAATCAGTCGTCAGGTTATGTTTCCAAAGTTTAATTATTATAACTGAACTTATATTTTCCATGTTTGGGTGCAGTGACGGCAGAATTGACCATGGATGAGCTCTACTTATATTTAAAATGTTGAGTGTATGGGAGGAAGTGTTGAAATAATGTACATTATCATATATACAGTGGAACCCCGCTATAACGCGCCCCGCCATAACGCGAATTCGGATATAACGCGGTCGTAGCATGGCTCCCGAGATTTGAAATTCATTTACTCCATCAGGCCTAAGTTCTTTGAAAATTGTATCCATTGCTTGGATAGCCATTTTTTAAAGCGAAAAAAAATCACAAATTTTCAAAATATCTTAGAAAATGAGTCCCTAAACGCACCACGTTCAAACTAGTATCAAAATTAATGCCGAAAACGAGGCTTTCTTCGGGTAGAACTATAAATAGTAATACGTAAGGAAATAAGTTAAATATTGTAAAACCACGCATTAACGCAACCCCACTTTTAACGCGATCCAATTTTATGGACCCCGATCATCGCGTTATAGAGGGGTTCCACTGTACTAATATTTTCAAATCATTTTATTACAGTAGGTCTAATAAGTTATGCAAGTAACCTAACAAATTTAATTCATTGTGAACTAGATCGCCTCAGTTACATCTAAGCCCGATAGAGTTGCAGGAACCCACTTTTTTGCTCCAGCTTATATCATGAAACTGTTGGAAAATATCTATGGCTCCAAGACTTCACCTATCACAGTGGCAACTATAATGGATTTGGGGAAAAAAATTGGAAAAGTGGGTTCATTTACTCATAGTATTTCTTTTTATTGCAATTTTTTTAAAAATATTAAGTGAATTAACATCTTTTTTTTCCTCTTGGCTTTTTTTTTTTTTTAAAACTTTTTTTAAAAATTTCCTTATTATCATTTCGAATTATTTGATATACCGTTAACTAAATTTTCTTTTTCAGAAATTTGCCTATAAAAGAGAAATTGATTTTTTTTACTTTTTGGAAAAGTGGGTTCATTTACTCATAGTATTTCTTTTTATTGCAATTTTTTTAAAAATATTAAGTGAATTAACATCTTTTTTTTCCTCTTGGCTTTTTTTTTTTTTTAAAACTTCTTTTAAAAATTTCCTTATTATCATTTCGAATTATTTGATATACCGGTAACTAAATTTTCGTTCTCAGAAATGTGCCTATAAAAGAGAAATTGATTTTTTTTACTTTAATGAAGTGTTTCATTTATTATTACTCGTTACTCAGATTTCAGTACTTTCAAAGACCTGTGATGGTTTTATTGCAAACAGAATGAATAAAATCGGCACAGAAGTGAGTGTAATGCTTTATGAATTATAAAATGGGAACCAATTGTTAAATTAAAAATGTTTGAACATTAGAGTTTTATTTTATAGCAGAAAGACTTTGTTTATTTCTCATATTTTGCCCTCTCATGTTCATTTCAAAATATGGCTGTTAACTCTAGTTAAAGAAGACTACTTTGAAAGTTAAATAAGACAAGATAAGACAATTACTATAGACAATATGTTCTGTGCTGTTCCTTAGACTAAACTAATATTTTTCAAATTTCAATAAAAAGGCTGCCTTCTTAGTGGAAGAAGGTGCTTTACCCCATGACATTGATCAAGTCTTAGAGGACTTTGGAATGCCAATGGGGGTCTTTAAAGTTTCTGACTTATCTGGTAACTTGAACATGATCTTTTGGTTAAGTAAGAATAGAAATACACATAAAGAATTTCAATAACTTAAGCTTCTTTGTAGTTAATTGCTAAATTGTTTTTGAAAGTGCAACTTTGCATTTGGTAACTTGAACATGATCTTTAGGTAAAATAAGAATAGAAATACACATAAAGAATTTCAATAACTTAAGCTTCTTTGTAGTTAATTGCTAAATTGTTTTTGATAGTGCAACTTTACATTTGGTAACTTGAACATGATCTTTAGGTTAAATAAGAATAGAAATACACATAAAGAATTTCAATAACTTAAGCTTCTTTGTAGTTAATTGCTAAATTGTTTTTGAAAGTGCAACTTTACATTTATTACTTCTCCTGAAAGCAAAAAAGAATGTTTAAATTACTTCACTGTGGTTCAATGTTGAAATTACTTTTGAAAAATAGATTAAAGTTCTTTTTTTAGCCATTTAACTCACATGACGTGGTTCTAATATGATGTGGTGTGTATTACATGATGTGTTGCGTAGTTATTTTTTCAGTTACAATTTTCAATATCAAATCACTTGATTAAATACTTTCTCTACAGGAATAGACATTGGTTGGAGTATAAGGCAGGAAATGGCTAAAAAACAAGGAATAACCCTTACACTGGAAACACACTACGTAAGCGGAGAACGTTACAGTTCTCTAGCAGATCGTCTGTATAATTTGGGCAGACTTGGTCTTAAAACAGGTTATAGTTTACTCTATCCTATTAACTCATTTTGTTTAATATGAAAAGATCAATTTAGTTAAATTAGTCTAAGTGAGAAATTTCATGTCGTTTTCATATTACATAAAAGTATAAACTGTAACATCTACAAATTATGTTTAAAAAATGATATTCTATATAGATGAAAGTAATGTGCTAACGTCTTCAATATGACACTGAAAAAATGTGGGGCTCAACCTGTCAAAATGTTGAGCCTGATTTTACTTCTCTGGTATTCTGGAGTGCTAACACCACCACCCAAACCCTCCCACGAATGAAAATAAGTGCCCATAAAATGAGCTTATTATGCAGAAGTATAAAGTAAAGTAATGTGTTATTTAAATAATGCATTAAAGATATTTTAAACTACTTTAACATTAAATTTTAACTTGTTGTCCTATGAATTGTTCATCTACCAACACCATAAGACAGTTTAGTTAAGTCTATTACGTAGCCTTTGTTTTAATGTTGTGTTTTTAATTGAATTGCCATGCAGGTAAAGGCTGGTACAGATATAATAATGCTTCCAACTCAAGGAAACCTATAATTGATCCTGATGTGACTGATATGATTTTGAATCACTGTGAAAAGCTTAGAATAAAGAGGAGACAAATCTCACCTCAAGTAAATAGATAAAATTTAGTTCTTTAACCATTATCCTGCTGCAGGTCTTTCAAACTATATAGCCTACATTTCCTTTTTGTGGGACAGAGCATTGCAAATTAAAATTGTTCCTTCTGTCATATTTAAAATTCTCTAAAGCTTCTTTACTTTATAAAGATTAATTATTAATGTATATTTATGTATCTTACCATGTATCTTACTTTATGAAGATTAATTAATAATGTTTATTTATATATCAGGAAAATAAATTGAAGAGCTTTAAAAAAAAATTTAGAATATGCTAATTTTTATCAACAATTTTGAAGATCAAAACAGAAAAGTGAAAACAAAAAATGTATACATTCCTGGTAGTTGTTATCTTAAATAACATCTAGTTTATGGGTTGTATATAGACCTGTGACTGAGTCTTATATAGACCTGTGACTGGGTCTTTTCTTTATCAATATGATCAGATCTTACTGTGACTACAGGGTTTTTTTTAATTGACAATTTTTGTGCTGTTTATATTTTTTTTCTGAATCTTTGTCAATAAATGGAAAGAACAAAGTGCTGATAAGTGCCAATACTGCATCAAGTAATCCATGACATTTTCACCACTAATCTAAACTGGTTTTTTTTTATGATTAGGAAATTAGATGTAGAAATTATGTTACAATTTTTTCAAAGCATTTTATATCATGAAAATCATGTCATGGTTGTAAAAAAAAGCAAGAATCAACACTTCTCAATATTGAAAGAGTTGATAAGGCAATGAAAGTATAAATATATCAATTATATTTTTGAAAGTTTAGTATGAATCTAAACCTTTAGTTAATTATTTTTTCAGTTTAAGTTTAAGCAGAACAGTAATCCTAACAACCAAGTTTAAGGATGTTTAATATAAAGGCAGTTTTCAAACTAAAGTAATAATGCCGTAATAATTAAAACTTTTCTTCAGGAGATTATTGAGCGGTGCCTCTATGCCACTGTTAATGAAGGATTCAAAATTCTGGAAGAAGGTGTAGCAGAAAAGCCAGAGGACATTGATATTGTTTGGTGAGTTTAGTCCCTTAGATACTTAGTGGTATGGGAGAGAAAGAAATGAAATGTCATATGTTAAGATAATGCGAATGTTATGGTCCGACGGTTAATAATTGGACAAGAATTTAATTTTCAGCGCGCACTTAAGCATCATTCATTTATATTGCAAGTGTTTTAGATGTTAAGAATTAACTGCTTACATGCAATAATTTGAATCAACTTTCTATTCTGGTGTGATTAGAAATCAGGGCTCAATTTAGAGTACCGGTAATAGTGAATACAGTAGAATGTCAACTTTCCAAACGCTGATTATCCGGAATGCCAGTTATCCAAACTTTCGTCTCTTTTCTAACAAATAAGTTTCAGTCTTCACCAGAGTTTGACACACTGTTGCTTATTTCTGTCCTTAGTTGCAAGTGAATGAGTATTTAACCAAGTCTATCTTCCCTACATTGTTATCAAAATAAACTCATATCAAGTCCAACATTGACCATCTCAAATTATGGTAATTTCCAGTCCTGTAGCTGCTGAATGTTTTACAACTTTGATATGATGAATAAAAATATGTCTTGAGGATCTTCTTCTGAAAGAAATTCAGGATGCCATAATTAATCCATTGTCAAATGTTTAGGCATTTGGTGTAGTGGAGAAGCTAATTCAGATAAAAATGATGATGTGAGGAGGCAAAAGTTGAACAAATTTATACAACAAACAGTTTGGCTAAAGGAGCAATATTTCTATTACTATCCTGCACAGTGTAAAATAGTAAGCTCATTGTTGCATTCCAGCTTTGTTTTAGATGGAATTTGGTTTAGTGGGAAATTCCAAAATTTTAATTCATTTCTGGATTAATTAAAGTTGTCTTTTGATTAAATGTTACACTTTTAAATTTTATTGTTTTGTTATCTTTTATAGAAATAGAGTGTTGTGCAACTACTAATCTGAGCATGTTTATAACGGGGTAAGGCAGGGAGGTGCTGCGGATGATTTTATGGAGCTCAGGGTGGGTGGCTAGAAAAATGTTGAGAACCTATGCCATGCATAATTTTAATCTAACTGGTACCTTTATTTTACAGGCAATATGGCTTCTCCTTCCCACGTTACAGAGGAGGACCCATGTTTTATGCCAGTCAAGTCGGCCTGAAGAAAGTCTATGAACGTATTTGTTATTATCATGAATCTTTCCGTAAGTAAACTTTTAAGTCCATTTTCTTTCGGCCATTAAGTTTAAGAAACAAGAAATAATGTAGTAGAAGTGGAAACATCAAATTAAACTAACAAAATTTTGTTTATTATAAACCTCCCACTTTTCAATGCAGTGAGCATATTCGGTAAAATTATGAAAATGGAAAGCCTTTGCCTATTGCCTGTAAATCTATTGAAAGAATCATTGCCAATCAGACTTTGGAATTAGGAATTACAGTTGTCAGTGCCTAATAAGGGGTGAAAAAATAGAAATTTGATGCCAACCACCTTTTCCCTGGAAAATATGAAGCTGAAACAAGAAGCCAAACTGCTAAACCATTGCTGTGTTGGCTAGTCCCAGCAATGTCAGTACAAATAGGCCTAATGTTTATTTAATATTTAATACCAAATAACCTTAATATTTTTTATTTAATTTCACTGAAAAATTGTTTTCTTTTTTATTAGCTTACTCCAAGCACTGGCTCCCAAGTGATTTGTTAAAGAAACTTGTCAGCCACCCAAATGAAGTTCCCATTAACTTATGGATGAACTATACAAATAGCAAACTGTAAATAGAAATCATTTCTCAATCATTTCTCTACAACATTACAGAGGACAACCTGAAGTGGATGTCAATCATTAAATCAGAAGTGTTTATTCGCTTTCTTCAATAATATTTATATGTGGTATTAAAGAGAGAAATAAAATTATGATATTGGTAAGTACTGGTACACAAGTACTGGTACACAAAAAAACTTTAAAAACTTTTTTCTTTATGTATGCAATAAAAGGCTATCAAAAAGTCATATTACCTTTAAGACAGATAATTCATTTTCTTTTAATCTCTCAGTGTGTGAAACTATTATTCTTTTTCTGCTATATAAATAATATAAGAACATACAGTAATCAATCATTTTCAGACTTTCATCAGTAATTATTGGATTTAAAGCTATAAACTATATTAATCTGAAACCTTGTTTGTTTATATTGATTTTTTTTTAAATTGTCTAGGTACCTTACTTTTACACATAAAATTAATTTCTGGGGGGGGGGGGGGGTTGGAGAGCATTGGTCCAAATCAACCCCATTATGTAAATTTAATAAATTTTAAAATCATAATTTTTTTTGTTCCTTGTTAAAAAGGAGAGGTTAGTAAATGACTATCCATGGTGACAAGTTTATTCCAAATACGGGTACAATGTTTTCCAGTTTCCACCATATTTTTTTGATTGCACCATATGCATGGAATTACATCATTTTTATAGTAAAATCTCTGGTTTCTCACCTAAAACCTGAATGATAATGTTATATGTTTGATGCAATTAACTATACTTTTTTTATCAAATGTATTTAGATTATTTTTTTTTGTAGTTCAGGAAATGGGTTAAATAATAAATAAGATGTTTGAGATAATCAGATGTTGAGATATTAACAGTTGAAAATTAAAGATTTCAAAATAATTCTTATAATTTGTTTAAGTTTTATCATAACTATTCACTATTGCTATGATGTGTTGAATATGTTGAGTTTTTTTTAAATACAAGTTCATTAAATCAGGTGCCACTCCTTCTGATAGTGATACCCGGTGTGATGCCTATGTGTTATAAAATAATTACTTTCAAATATGTGCACTAAATGGCACAATAAAGTTCACTATTTTAAATACTGTAATTAAAACAAAAAAAACAAGAATTTGCATTAAAAAATGAGTTAACTTTTGAACAGCAAACAAAATTACTAACATAACATTAACATGCATTGGTAGAGAGAAAGCCCTAAATAATCATGTACAAATCAATTAACAAGTTCATGCCCAGTGTGCACAAATATTTTGAAAATAATAATCCACAGATAATGAAAACAGTTTGTGGTGCTAAACTTGATTAAACTGGTTTTTAAAATTCCTTTTCTATGTGCACAAGTCTTTGAGTTTGAGAGGCAGATTTAAAAACCAAATGTTACTTGATATCACAACAAATAATATATTTGAGCATTAATGATGTGAGCTACTTGCTTCATGACAAGTTATACTGCATTATTACAGGAGTTAGAAGAAAGAACCTAACCCGGTTTTCTAACCCGGTTATGAAATGGATAAAAACATCTCCAATTACATTTGAGAGGATGTGCAGAAATTATCATAAGTGTCTTCACAAACTTCCAATAATAGGATAAGTGGTTGGACATTATAGGGGAAAATATTTTTATCAACAAGTCTCTCTAGATATAGTCTGAGACGAATAAACATCTCCATGACTAGTACCACTTCCTCTGGTATTTTTAGACCAGCACTTGAACTCTCTTCTTGACTACTGTGTTCATCAAGATCTGTGCTGTTATTTTTCTTCCATAGAGCAGCTTCATTGTTACCACAAACAATACTTGCCTCTATGTTAGTGGAAGGAATAATGTCAGAATAACATGACATGCCTCCAACCAAATTTAATTTTTCAGTAGTTTCTTCTTCTTCATTTTCGTCCGAGTCTGAATATGAAACTAATACAATCTGTTGTTTTCTTACAACACTATCATTATGAACAATGGGACCTATAAGATGAGTAAAGGAATCTATGACTTGATTTTCTTTTCTTAACAAAGGGAGATGTTGGAAGTCAGTTTTTTCATTGCTATATAATTTTCTTTCATCAGGTTTTTCTTCATCAGAAAGTTCCCTCTTAACATCTAATAACAAATGGTTTGAGTGATTATGTAAATATGAAAGGTTTGATCTACACTCATCTACCAGCTGCACTGTTGGATAATAACTGGTTGAAGTAGCATTTTGAAGAACTGTTGGATTATAAATTGCTGAGCTATCAGGGTCTATTTTGGGTGAGATAGCAGTATCTACTTTGCTGCTATTGCTAGATACAGATACTACACAAGTGTAAAAATTAGTCCAATTTTCATTGACAGTATGCAAATATTGACTAAAATAATATAAGAAATGTGTTTCTGGTGATGTCAGGAAGTCGGCCAGCACCAGATGATCATAACCTAAGAACTTTGCTAGTTGTAGAAAAAGTCTGTGAGGACATATACATTGGCAAAGTTTCTCTATGTCCAAATTCTCAAAATCTTTGTTACTGGTAACTTTTTCTGTGCTTGTTGACCATGTCAGCTCTTCCAACCTGAATTATAAAAATACAAAAGTTACATAGAAATCACAAACAGTACATTTAACGCTATATTTAATAACGTACTATGCTGATAATTCTGTCGTAGCCGTTTGAAAATACCATCATTAGTATCCTCAAATATTGAAAAACAAAATGAAGAATATAATAATATTCACAAATACAGCCACTCTGCACTCTCACATTTCTTTAAAACTGTTCTTTCAATGTTACCTTAACATGATCTTTCTATGAAGCATTAATAAGCAAAGTAGAGATGAAATCCATTTATCATCCTGGTCTGCAAAAAGAACAGTCAGCCAGTCCTCTGAATCTTGGTCACATTTGGTAACAAGTTCTTGAACTTTACACAACAAAGAAAAAAGCTCAGCTGCTATTAAGGGTTGAAAATTTTCATTTCCAATCAATGTGATAGCATGAACTTTGAACACAGTATAAACTAACAATTTAGCCATTGCTGAAACACCTTTTTTGGGGTCTTCCGATTGCTGATAAGAATTAGCCTTATGTAAATTAAAGCCGACGAAATTACAGTCTGCTAATAAACTGTGTGAAGATGGACTGTGTAGACACCTAAGTAGTGCTGTGCTCACCCTACCACCTACGATAACAATACACTGAGGGGGGAGATTTTTGGGGTGAAGAAATTTGACATCAAATAATGAGCTTAAGCATTTTAAATATTTTAAACAAATCAAATGTTTATGAGGAGTATGAATAGTTGAAAAAAATGCCTCAGTGTAAGGTAAAATGGAATTTTGAAACAAAGAACACAGAATAAAATAATCAGAAACTTGGGACAGTCCACAATCAATTAATTTTAACCCACATTTCAGGATTTTTTTAATAAGACATAGGTAGTCAAAAATACCATCTGTGTTGGGAAATGTTTCTGTCTTTGAGTCAGTTTTTCTTGACAGAAAACTATGAACGTATCCAAAAGAATGAACACAAGCAAATGTTTCTGAGCACACAGATATATGTGGCACTTTGTAGGACAATAAATTCTTTACAACTTCAACAAATGAGGAGCATGGATTGATTCCTGCTTGCCAATTCTGCTCTACAAGTTTAATAAAACTGTGAACCTGTAAGAGAGATTTTTTTAGGTAAATGAATTTTTGAAGAATCCTCCCAAATAATATAAACATTATATAAAGTGACAGTACCGGTACCTTAACTATATTTAGCTTAACATGGAGTAATATGTAGAGCATTATTATCTTTTGTAGAAATAAACATTAAAAATTAAACTGATGAATTTTGTGCTTATTCTATTATGTCGTTTTAATAATGTTCCTCTAACAAATCTTTGTCTAAGAACACATGTTACTTAACCATTTCACAACAGATTATTAACTATGCTATCAAACATTTAGTTTAAGGTGGATTTTCAGACACTTAAATGTTTGCATTCTGGTAATATAAAAATGTCCTCACAAAAAAAAGCTACTTTTGAAGGGGCATAATATGACAAGCTTTCAGGTAAATGATAGAAACATAGCAAAATACTTTCTTTCACACCCTAAAATTTTGTATAACACCAATGAAAAATGTCACCCATATCTGACACTACTAAAAATAAAGTGGAGACAGGTAAACATTTTTCAGGTTGTCCATCATCAATTAATATTATTTTATAATAAAGTCAGTCTTCTTGAATAGATATTTTTTTTACCTCAAATACTTGTGTCTTTAATGCACTTAAAAGAGATTTCTTGGCCAGAAAAGCTGTGAATGTGCAACTGCTTTTAACATATTCAATCTGGAAATCAAATTGTATGGATTACTGTTACCATTGATAATTCCTGTTATCGCAATTATTTGCTTTTCTTTTACATAGCTGCTTTCAAGTAATAAGTCAGGAAAAAAATTTGTGTTGAAATCATTGTTAGATCAAACATAAATTTCCATCAGCATCAGCTTTGTCTAAATGTCACAATCTTCTTGTTATTCAAGTTCAGTTACGAGACAAGGCAATGCTTTTGAGATTTAGCCTACCATTCCTTTATTATAATTAATTTAAGAATAAATAGCTTGTCTTTATCGTTTAGTGAGGATTCAATAAGGCTGCTCAATTTAAGATTTATCTTTTATATTAATGTTGCTTTTTTAAATTCTTAAGTCAAATGCACTTACCAGCAAATGTATAAAATTGTCTGTGATAAGAATAGCAGCCGCAGCTGGATACCATTTATTAATAGTTTCTATTTGTTCACAGCTTAGCGTCTTTTGACAGGAGTAGTTTTCTATTTTTTCTGGAGGATTTAGACAATCATGACGATTTAAGTGTTTAACAGTTTGACTTAGCTGTGAACTGTCATAACCAAATACAACTTGAACTGCGGTAAGTGCAGCAAACAGCAAACACTTAGTGCATTTCTCTGTGCACTCTGGATTAGGATGAGGATAGTTTGAGACATCTTTTTCAATGCCTTTATGTAACACGATGATTACAATATTGCCAAACAAGTTGGGGGGACAGGAAATTGTGTAAACTCTATATTCAGCTACAGCTGAAAGTACTTGAAACACATCTAATGGTAAAGAATCATCCATTTATTTCAATTCTGCAAAGAAGAAAAAAAAGATAAAATGAGTTAAGTACTGTTAAGTCAAGACATAAAATATCTATATTTAAATGCCATAAATTTAATGCAAGGTAAAAGATAAGTATAAAAAATGTTCTTTTTCATTTTTTCAATTTTTATCATTCTTTATTTGTATTGCTTTTTAAATGTATGCTGAAGAAGGTTTTTGCAGTTTTATTTCATCTTTTTTTCAGAACTAGTTCTAGTACTAGTAGGCTATGGCATGTTGGGCCCTATTTACTTCTATGACTACTACTACTAATAGTCATAATATAATCCTTACTATACTATTAATACCAATATAAAGCAAGGAGATGTGTACAGCAAAAAATGTAAACTAATAGTAGCTTTTAGTAATTTTTAGTCTGTTCCGCGGAATATTGGTGGCGTTCACATGGAGTTTGCCTCTTCGTGGCGTGGCAGACTAGTTACTAGTAGGGTGGACCTGTCCTCCCGAATAAAAAAAAACCCGGGTTGATTGCATGACTCCCAACGCAACGGAAATAGCAAAGAACATGATTACTTTTTGCTGTTTATGGATATGAGGCTTGGGTTAAAATCCATGCCGATGATTTTAGCTACACAGCCCTGAGAAAGCTGCTCCGAGGCAATCATTTTGTTCCAGCTTAGAAAACATCCAGACCGAAGGACTCCATGGGTGGTGGGGGGTGGTAACGCAACACCTTTCCTCCGGAGTGGAAGCAAACCTGCCAAGACACTTAGAGAGAGTGGACTGCAAACGCTTTAAACGCAGCGTAAAAAGTATAGACTATACTATAGTCGGAGATGGTTTAGTTTGGCATACATGCTGTACACTGTCCATGTCTCGTTGGCATATAGTAATGTTAATGCAATAATATTGTCTATACAATATACTTGTGTGGCTGAAGCAGTTGTCACAGGCCTTTGCAAACAAAGTGTTCAACTATACTAGGGCTTGGCCGATAATCCGTAATTTTTGCACTAAATAGCCTCTAGGCATAGGACATATTATGCTATACTATAAGGCATAAGGGATTACCCGTTAATGTATTACTATTATGCTACTATTTAGTACTATTTGACTATTTGAAATTATTTGCCTCACTGCTGTGCTGCACATTCAGTTCAGAACTATCATTTAATTTAATTTAAATCACAGTACTACTAAGACTAACATTTTCTACAACTACAAGACCTAGTTTAGTTTAAGTTTAGGGCCTACTAGTACTAACTAGTTTACTAGGATAGTTGATTTTTTTTTATTATTTTTTTTTTTAACCAAAATATTCACTTTATTTTTATTTTATGACTATGGACTTAACCGACATTTATCATTTTCAAAGAAATAATATATTAGCTTTCGAGATGACAAGTTTTAGTGCTGCACATTCCCGTAAACTTAAACGGCGTACTGTCACTCACACTCACATCACTGGACTGTGACTGTACTTTTCTGTGATTCTAATTAATAATAATTGAATTATAATAACCTAAACTTAATTACTTAATAAAATAACTGGTTACTGTGTTTTTTTCTCCAATTAACACTTTAAGAAGCATTCGTAAAACACTTCATTACTTAAAATTTAAAACTGTAACTTTAATCAGGGGTAAAGTTGTAGCAAGTGATTGCGATAAGATAAATAATATGTTTCGGAGTGAGTAATTTCCCATTAGCCTAGAATTAGAAGATATTATTATCATTATTATGGTAGGATGACAGAGTTTCCGGATTGAAGATTAATTCCGATCGATATCAAATTTTATTCGATTATATAATTACCGGCTTTTCATAAACGCAGAAATTAACTAGGAAAAAAACAGGTTACTAAACATTATTAGCAAATCATCACGATCGTTATTTACGAATTGCTTTTACTTTTAGAGATACCTAAAGCCTAAAACTCACTGCAGCCTTCTTATACTTTTATTGCTGAAGGACTTACGCCTATATTTTTAGAAACTATAAGTTTAAGTAGACATCAGCAAACATCAGTTATATCAACCTAATATTGTTAAACGTTTGTTAACCATTGCTTTAAATTTCAAGAAAATATCATCTTTAAAAAAACTAAGTAAATTATATTTTTTAAATTTTGTTTGCATAGACATAAAAGTAATAAGTAATCGTTTCAAATAAAATCAAGGAATATCTCTTCTCAAAATACATGTCATAGTATCGATACTTTAATATCTATTTCGAGCCTTCGTTAAAGTTTGCAGAGCTGAATGAAAATGTAATCTCAGGTAATTTTCTTTGTACTTGAATTAATTATATTTTTTAAAACTCCTTTAATATACGAATGACGAAAGGGAAGGTACGCTTTAACTTTTAAATGCATTTACGCGACGTTGCACTTGTTATCGGTTCATTTTGTTTGGAAAGACGTGAGAGTGAGAGTGAGACACTTGCATTAAGTTGCATTTTCATTTCATTTGCCATTTGCATTAGAGTCTAGTTGTATTTCAGTATTTCAGCAGATTTCTTAAATTTAGTTTCAACTAATACTGTATTTCAAGCTCATCACACTTAACTTATTCTCAAGTCTTAGGCCTACTCTCCTTAGGCTTAGGCTCTGGTCTTTGTGATTAGGGCCCTCATATGAATATGTAAGTGTAAGGCTAAGTCATTGGCCTACTTTTTCCCATGCCCATAGCCGTAGTACTACTACTTCTACCACTACTAATAATAAATTCTTCATAGTCACAGACAGACTCACATTCACAGCACACACACATTTGCATACATGTCATACATCAGGACAAAGGTCTGTAAAATTGAAGCAGGAGGTCCACAACAGACGTAGTACCCCTGTTATGTACTACATTTTTTATATGGCCGCCATCTTTGTTGCAAGACAGCAGACACATCAAGAAAAGTAGGTCACAACACTGTGGAAAAAAAGATGAAAATTTAAGAGCATGTTTTTAAAAATTAGCAATACGTTTGGCGCAAGGCGAATGTATCAACTTTACCCTTTAGGTAAATGGTCACTGAAAATGCCACTATTTTTATCCGTGGCCGCCATCTTAGTTGACACATCACTTGAAGTCATCTATCCCTATGCCTAACCTGAAACCTAAATCGATCCCTATGCCTAACCTGAAACCCTAAATCGATCCCTCTGCCTAACCTGAACCCTAAATCGATCCCTATGTCTAACCTGAACCCTAAATCGATCCCTAAAATAATTTAGTAAAAATAAACAAAGGGAAGTCACTCCCTGGAAAATAAGTCCAGGCATCTCGAATGATCATTAGCCCAACTGGTATTGTATCACTCTAGATACATTGCAAAAAGTTTCAAGCACCTTCAGTCTCCCAATTTCCTGATACTGACGTAATTGTAGCAGGTACATTAATTTATGAGCGAATGTGCTGTAGCAACTTTATTGTATCCCTCTAGATATGCAGCAAGAAGTATCAACGACCTGTTGGTCGATTCCTTCCCTCGAGTATCACTAAATCTTGGCATTCCACCACGTGTGCTAACTAAATACTATGGTGACAATTGACAAGCGTAAAAATGAAGAAAAAGATAAAATTAATTGCGAAAATCCATTTATCAAGATGACCCAACTTCTGCAACAATCACTCTCGTATTTTACCTCTCCTTTCAAGTTTAATTAAAAATTATGACGATGACGCAACAATCTGTGTATACTTTTGTAAAAAAAGGCAATTCACTCGTACAAAGAAATGTGTCATGGCCCTCCTGTTCCAAATTAGCACAGGGGTCCTCAAACTATTGCCCATGGGCCAGATCTGGTCCGCCAGGGGTCCTTAACGTGGCCCACCTCACCGATACCCAGGTAGCTGTGACAAGTATGGAGCTCGACTTTGACCATCTATTTGTCTAAAAGAAGTCCCATACTTCCCATTAAAATAATGATAACTTTATGTTGATTAAAATAATTTTTAGTTTTTTCCTGTTTTTGCACTAAAAGTAAGATATGCACAGCGTGAATAGGAATTCTTTAAAATATTTTTTTTTTTAAACTGTTGTCAGGAACCCAACAGTGTCTGAGAGAAAGTTAACCGACCTCTAAGTAAAGTGTGAGGACCTTTGTGATACATCATTTAATCATTATGTCTGAATAAACTGAATTCATAATCTGAATAAGCTTGAATAGGCCCTATTGCTCTATTGAGCCCTCATTTATCCCCAAGATTTTAATTTTTTTAAATTGGGGTAATTTAACCTGGTTAGCAGAGCCCCTGGCATAATATATTGCCATAGGTTTTACAAACTAGTATATGCCTGACTACATAGTATTTACTATTAATTATTAATTTAGACTAGACACTACTCAGTGGCTGTAGGTCCATTCAAGCTACCTGACTAAGCCCTTTTCTTTATTTAAGTGCAATAATTTTCACATCTATTTATTTTGTTTTTAGGTATGGGAATAGACCTCAACTCTGTAGTAAATCCATCCCTGTGGCGCTACATCCCATGTAGGGCTTTGGCCTGCCTCACCACTTCCTTCCACTCAGACCTAACTGATGCTTTTCTTTTCCATGCTTGGATTCGCAGCTGCTGTTGATCTTTTTCCACATCATTCGTCCATCTAAGCCTAGGTCTGCCTTTAATCCGTTTACCTCTGGGGTTTTTTTGGTGCACCCTTTTCACACCTCTGCGATCCGGCATTCTCTCTAAGTGTCTAGCCCAGCATAGCCCACCCTTTTTTATTTCTGCTACTAGCGTGGCATCCTGATATAGACTGTATAAGTCATGGTTGGTTCTTATTCTCCCTCCATATTCATCCTTTGTTGGTCCATATATTTTCTGGCAACTCTGTAGTACTGTGTACTTTATGCTATATTTTAGGCTTTTTCAGTGTCATTCAATTAGCCATTTTAAAGATCTTTTTTTTAATATTTTAAACATTATATAATATAATGACTTTAACCAAAACAACTTTATGTTATATATAGCATGCTCCAATGGTGGATATGGTGGCAATCATGGTTTGTAAAATTGTGACAAAAATTTAAAAAGCTTGAATTTAAAAAAGGACCCATTTGAGCCCCGTGAACCCCAAATCATTCTTGGGATCTGCAGAGTCGCGTAGTATATTTTTTCTAAGTATTACCACTAATCTGTAATTATATGAAGTTTACTGATTGGATCAACCGGGGAAATTCCCAGAAGATCAAAGGAACAAAGGATAGATCCACAAGTAACATTTTGATCTAATTTTTAACTTATTTTCAGGTAATTACAAACATGAGTGCTGGTAGGCCAACCAGTGCCCATGTTAGTCGCAAGGGAAGGAAAAAAAATCCTAAAAAAGAAGATGAATCGAATCGCACTTTTAGTTTAGATGGCATACCAAGTATTATGTACTGGAGTCACAGTGACAGTTATTGTGGCACTGTTCCCTTCTTGATGGATCTTGCAAGGAATGAACATGATACCGGTCATTCTGACATGGTAATGGACACAAGTGAATCGGACAGAGTTTTCCAGTTTCAGCTTCTTCCAGATTTATGCAAACTCAAAATTTGGGGTTTGCTTAAGTCGTGTGATCTAGGACGTTGCATGCTTGTATGTTTAAACTGGCACAGTGTGCTTCAAAATCCTCATTTTTGGAGTGTGATAAAATTTAGTGAACTGCCTGGCTCTTGCTTGCCACGTGATAGAAATGGGCCGATTCATACTGATCCAGTTTGCCATCATTGCTTCCGCAAAAGAGTTCTTGCTTTCACTCAGTTTCTATCAAAAATACACCCTGTTGTGAAAGAATTTCAGTTCTGTCTCGATATAAGCCACCCAACAGACCAGTTCAACTTAGCAATTGAGCAGTTTTTGGCAACAGCAGAACTGAGCTCACTTACTTGTGCTGACATGAACTGGAAAGAGAGCCCATCCAGGACACTATTAAGAATAACAAATGAAACTTCCCAAGATCAGGAATGGATATATAGATATCGCAAACGCCAGCGAATGTTTTCCCGGATTTTTGAAACATTTGTATGTATTGCATCGCAACTAACCACATTAATTATGCCTTTTGACTGGACGGAACATAATGTTGAAAATCTGTGCAATTTGAAGAAACTGAAAAACTTAGTGCTGGAGAGGTATGGGAGTTTAAACCATGTTTTTACTCAAGAATTACTGAATCAATTGATGAGGAGTCTGGTCAACTTGAAGAAGCTACTACTGGAGGTAAAGAAGAAACTAAGCATAAATCTAGTTCGTCATTTAAAAAAAACTATATTTGTCAATTTAAAATGCAACTTAAATTGAAATTTATTTTTTTAATTACTTATAAAGCAGTTAATATTTATTTTTGAATGTTAATTGCCTTGCTAATTCTCTTTTTAAATGCATTTAAACAAAATTATTTACTTTAAAATAAAAATGCTATAAATCATGTGTTGTCATTTTTTTCAGGTGTGGATCCCAAACCAGATAATGGGAGTATACTGCATTGAGTCGACATCTTTGTTTTTTTTAGATGTTTCTCAATGTCGTGGCTTTTACCTAAATAGACTGAATACCCCCAATCTGTTACAGTTGCGATTAGCAACGAATTCTTTGCAGAGGAATTATTTCCAGCGACAGTCACCACAATTGCCTTGCATGTACACAGTGCTTTCAGCTGGTGCACCTAAGCTGGAGGAGATAAACGGGCACCATTTTGGAATAGAGAGTAGTGAACATCCATCTGAGGAAATGTGCAATTTACTGGGAACTCTTTGCTGTTGTCTTCAGCATGCTAGAATTGGGGGCATTGAAATGTATGGTTTGTAATTTTTTGTTTTTCTTTATAAAAGCACTGTATAGATCTTTTTAGCATATGTTAGAGGAGTACAGTGCTGTAAATGTGTAAATTTCTTGAAGTTTTAATAAATTTATGTTACAAAATGGTTTAAATATTATAGGTAAAAAAAAAAGTTATAGAGATCTATATTCACCTTAATTGTGTTGCAAACTTTCCCCCATAATTCACTGTGCATCAATCTTTAAATACATTTACTTTCTTTATTAAATCCATTGCTACATTATGGGTTGAAGTCATCCATATTAATATTAGGATTATTAATATCTCATCGTTATATTAGTTTATCCGGATTTCAATATGTACTTTTGCCAATATCCAGTATTTTGAATTTTAAAGTATATTTACTTTAGTGTTTTATGATGCTGATGACAAAAGCGATGTCATGTAATGTTATGAGGGTTCTAAGTTGTTAAATATTGCTGCATTAATTTAGTCTTTCTTTTTGATGCATTGTAATCATGCAAATGTCTTTTATATATAGACCAGTGTATATAATATTAATAACTGTTGTGCTTTGGTTTTAAGAAATCATTAAAATCTGGTAAACGTTTTATGGAGATTTTAAACATGGATTAAAAATGTTTTAAAGATTAAAAATGTTAGACCTTGATGACAAATTATTTCTCGAAACCGAATTTATATAGTTATAATAGTTACATTTAAAAAGTTTGACGAAAAAAAGAGAATTCCTTTTGAGTCATCAGGTTTATTTTTTCAATAATTTTTAACAGAAAATAATAATATATTAAAAATATTCCAAAAAAAGTCTCCTAATCTATGGACCTTAATAATTATTTTATATGACTTAAAAAGAGAGAGAACCACAGAATAATTATTTGTTTGTACCCTTTATATTATACACAATTTTCTTTAACATGTTAATATATCTTGACATTCAACAAAATAAGAAAAGTGTTTATTTTTTTAATTTTTAAACTAAAAAAAAAAAAAATAAATGAAATGTACAAATACACACTTTTTCAAATAAAAATTTTTAAACTACAAAAAATATTTTAATTTTAAAAATTATTATTATACACAATTTTCTTTAACATGTTAATATATCTTGACATTCAACAAAATAAGAAAAGTGTTTATTTTTTTAATTTTTAAACTAAAAAAAAAAAAATCAATGAAATGTACCAATACACACTTTTTCACATAGAAATTTTTGAACTACAAAAAATATTTTGATTTTAAAAATTAAGAAAGCTACAGGGTACTAAGTATGAAATGTTACATGTTTCATTCCAATAAGTTTTGCACATTTACGAGTGATACATTTACCTTAACCATGAGAGACCTTTTTTCTCTAACTTGTTTCCATTTAATAGTCTTAAAATACTTTTTTTTATCGTCCCATATTTTTACTTGACAGTATCTGCGGAATTGATTAATGTCTTGTCATTTTTAATAAAAGATTTTGTAGGGAATACGTTTCATTAGGAACTCTCTTAATATCAGTTTGATTTTTTTTTATCACATAAAGTGTGTAGTATTCATATTCATATATTGAGGTATGATGATATATTTAGACAAATGTTTATTAATAACATAATTTGTTTTTAATTTAAATCAGAAATTTATTTCATTCAAATTACTGGGTGGACCAGGACTTGCATTTTATTAGTTATCTTAATTCTTAGCCGAATTATCTTTAAACTCATCATTTGATGATAAAATCATTTTCTAATTATGTAAAGTGTTTACTTCCACTTACATTGACAAAATTTAATTTTAAGAAACTATTGTTTAATCCGGCATTGCCCAATCCTTGCACCCCCATAGTGTGTGAAGAGGCATTTTAAGGGTGGGAGGAAAAGATTGTAAGATTAGTGGAACCACATGATATAAATGTTTATATTTTTTTAACTTAATCATCAAATGTTTTAATTAAGATAATAAGTCACAAGTTCTACAGTAGTCGTCTTTTCCAATTTTAAAATGCATGGTTACTTTTGTAGGAGGCCCAAGACTTAAACAATTTGAAGGGTCTGCAGAATATGGAAAAGTTTGGCCAAATACTGACTTTTAGTTTAATTCTAGTAAAAGTTAAATTGAAAATATTAGTTATTTTGACGTGCTCATATAAAACATAATAACTGTTGTATCTGGAAATTAGTATGAAACTAATTTTTTTAAACCAATTTGTATGAAGGAACGGTGTTTGATGGGGGATAATAATAAATTTTTTATTAAAAAAGTTTTAATTTTCCCAATATGCACCTTCTTTTAAAAAACATTTTGAAAAACAAAAAAAATTTTGCTTAAGGAATAAATAAATGTTATTTTGAAAAAAATTTTGTTCAAACAACATTCCTATATACAAATTAGTTTTTAACAAAATAGTTTCGAACAATTAGTTTCGTACTAATTTCCTGAAACCAATTAGACATTAGACTGTTAAAAAATAATAAAGCCAGATCACGCCTATTTAAATAAAACAATACTTTAAAAATTGCTTAAAACAGATCACACAATTCAGAGAGGTGATTATATTTCAAGGGGAAAAAAAATTAATTGAATACATAAATAGCATTGTAACTTAATTTTGCTGAATTTATTTTATTTCTTAATTCATTACTTGAATAGTAGATGTAACTTTAATTAATATCATTTAATGCCTGCAAAAGTTTAGTTTTGTTCTGCATTATTTCCGAATATCTTAACTTCAAATCAAGTTTTTTCACAAAGCTTAATTGAAAGTCAATGGGATAGACTCTGTAAGTTTGATCGGTGTACAGATTTAAGGGAGTGCTGTGCAAACGTTTTGCTGCTAAAGACTGCAAGGACATTTATAGAAAAACTTTGTAGAAATCTAGTTTAAATACATGTCTTAGCAGGTGGGCTTCGATAATCACTTCAAGTTCAGTTTGAATTTTTTACACTGATTATTAATTTTCAAAGGCATTAACAGATAATGATTCACAATTTGTATATTGTATGAAAACATTGATCCACTTCCGGAAAGGTCTTGGGGGCTTGATTAAAAGTTTCAGTGGGCCATAAGTTACCACTCCTGGATTAAGGAATGCTTACCTTTACCAAGCTGGAAACCCAGGCTACGCCACTAGTCCTAGCTGGAAACCCAGCCTGCGCCACCGGTCCGAGCTGGAAACCCAGGCTACACCATCAGTCCAATATGTTCAAGATTCTCATCAATGAGTTATACCTGCTCCCTGCCACACCAACACAATATAAATGAAAAAGCCTCATTCTTAACATGAAGAGGCAAAATTGCAATATAAGTCATATATAATGTTACTAGATAGCTGTCCAATAAAGGTAGTGTTATTAATGAAACATTCACACAAAAATCAGTCTGTGGGATGAAAAATCTGTGATAAAAAATCCATAATCCTATTTAGATTTAGTAGTGTAAACATGGGAGAAAAAATATTGTTTTTGAAATGAAACGCCCTATTAAATGAAACTTGTTTAGTTAAATGGGAAAGCTACTTCTCTCTCTTCCCCTGACCCCCTCTGGCTTTCTCACCGTTTTTAAAAGTTCAATATTAAAAATGAATTCGTAAACTTATTTTTTGGGGTGAGTTTTGTTATTTTTTGTTTTTTTGCTGAGTGCAGGTAGGGGGAAAAAAACAGACTTATGCATATAGCTTATTCTATAGTAAAGAAATTAAGTTAAGTTTTTTAAATTAATTGAAATATTTTTTGGAAAGAGATGGCCTCAATGGAATGGAATAGCGTACTTATTTGAACTGCAGGCTTTGCTCTTAATGTTTCTTGAACTACTTACAAATAAATATGTACATATATATCTTCTTCAGTGTTGTCTGCTTAGAGCAGCGGTTCTCAACATGTGGGTCGTGACCCCTTTGGGGGTCGCACAACCCTTTCCCAGGGTTCGCCTAAGACTATCCGAAAACACAAATATTCTACAGTTATTGACGTAGCAATGAAAATAATTTTGTGGTTGGGGGTCGCCACAACAATGGGAACTGTATTAAAGGGTCACTGCATTAGGAAGGTTGAGAACCATTTGCTTAGAGACAATTGAAAAAATATCTTCATTTATCATAAATAATATATTTTTGTCATTTCGGGATACGATTAAAAGAATTCAATAGTATGTGCATCCTTTATTAGAATTCATTGAGAATGAAGAATACACTTTATGCTTAAATGTTACTTATTAGTTATTGCTATAATTAAGATAAATGGGCATTAGACTGTTTGTATACTAGAAGAAATTTAATGATCATAAATGTATATTTGATTTTATTCTTTAAAGGGCATCCAGAATTTATGTTACCGGTCTTCCAACTCTCGTTTGCTCCCAGGTTTGAGCTGACCAATTTCTAGTTGCATTCATCTGTCTATTTTGTTTATTGAAAACTTAAATGTTGTTTTCAGGGGTCCCAGTTTAATTTTTTTTTAATGAATTCATATTTTTCTCAATTAAATTTTAAGATCTGACATTATCATTTAATTGCATTGTCCATTTAGAAATGTCAAAGAGATGCTTGTTTTTGTAAATCCTCAAGTGGTTTGTTGTCATATTTTGTGTTGTACAGAGTCTCCCAATTTCTTCTTTAGCCAGACAATCGTGAATAACTTAAATACGTATCGGATAGGTGAAAAATGTTGGATTATATTTATCAGTTTATGAAAAAAAGATTGATCTTTCATGAGATGAAAATTTCATCCGCTGGTATCCAAGCTCACTCACTGCAATGCCTGGTTGGTAGGTGTTTTGTCAGCCTCTACTCTGACAGCAGCATCTGTTAAAAATTAAGACCAGGTAACCTCCAATGTCATCGTGCCTGTCTGTCTTTTTACACAGCGTGAGGGGCCTGCATATTAAATCACAATTTGGTTGCCTTATCTTCATTATTATTGAAGTTATTCATCTTCGTTTGGGTAAAGAAACATTTGGGACATGCTGGATTTGATGCTGCTAGTGTTTAGGTTTAAATTTTTCATTGACAAAGCATTTTTTTAAAAATCTTATTCGATTGAAGAATCATTCAATGGCATACAACTCTAGTGTATAAATGAGGGAAGGCATTTATTTGTTTTATTTCTAAATGAATTTCTTTAAATGTTAAATTTGTGGCTGCATGTTGCATTATATCTCCTGGCAAAAGTGATTGCCTTTGTGATTTTACAATATAATTCTTTTGTAATCACCTACTTGACTTGTTTTTAAATACTAAATAAGTGGAGGTAGAGTTTATTTTCATGAATGTAAAAATAGTCAATATGAAATTCAATATTTCATTGTTAAGGCCACAAAATTGTTTACAATGTATTAAGTGCCATTGTTGCTGTTAAAATATTATGTTTTATGACCAATTTTAATGTTCTTATTCTTTAATTTAAGCTTGGTAATGGTTTGTATTTGTATATGCTTATAATTCTTTACATTTCCAGTTACAGAAAATAAAAATATTTTGAGCATGTGCCGGTTTACCAACAAAAATTAGTTAGTTATTTCAGTTAAAATCTATTTTGCGTTGTATATTTTATTTTGTTATAGTATATTTTATGTCTACGATGTAACAAAGAGATGAATTTGATTAATTCTACATATTTTGGAGCTTAACTAGATCACATCTCTTATAATGTGTGACTTCTAAAAATGAAAGTAAATCTCCCTCAGTCTCTAATTGAAACTCCCAGTGATAGAAAGGGGCTTATTTATTTGAATGGAATATTAACTAGATGAACTTGTATTACAATAATGTTTTGTTTTAGGAGCTACATTATTATTAAAAGTGTAGGATTTTTACAAACTTGGTTCCCTTCAATCTTAATTTATATGTTGTGTGATAAATCTACTTACTTTTATTTATTGCAAAAAAAAAAAGTATTAGTGTTTTTTTTCC